ACGTCTGTTGCATGCACCGAAACATAAACACAGAAAATAACTCACACACACATTTGGACCCGAGCCCTGGTCCCCGAGGCCCAAGGGGAGCAGCAGGTCAAACTAATCTGCCACAGGCCATGATGTTTACCACACAGACAGGATGAGAACAGCACATCGGAGAGGAGAAACTACACTAAACGACAAACAGGATTAAAACATAGTTTGATGTTTAAAGAGATTAAGTGCATAAATTATAAGTTTCGTTCTATTCTGCCATAAAATATATTCAACACAAGTGCCCAAATAAGGACAAAACACTCATTAAAGTCATTTTGAACATGGAAATGCATTGAAAATACATAGTGTTAATATCTGTCGTATCTGTTTATCCAAAGCGAGGTGGGGGGGCTTACCCTCGGCTAATAGGTGACGTTACATGTCAAAAGTAGTGGGCTTCAATCAGCCCAATCAGTGTAACGCAGGTTATGTGATAGCAAATAGGTAAAGGAAAACCACACACATACACACGTCACTGCAAAGAGAAGTAGGTAAAGAGAACATCAATCATATCTCAGCTCTTAATATCTCTGCTCTGGATGTTTGGCATTAAGTGGTGTTATGGCCGACACACTGGTGTGAAAATAAAGTGATAAATACAGAACTAGCGCCCAGACTGAGTTTATTCCTATAGCTCCACTACAGCTGTAGACCATTATACCATTGAAAAATACACATATGAAACAGGAATTGCAAGTGTTATACTCTTTGGTGTCTGGAAAGTCTATTTAAAGGCAAACAGGTTTACATTTAGAGAAAACGGCTGGGCAAAAGGTGACATAAGGTATGACTGAAAGTGACATACTTACCCAAATAGAGACAAAACACTGATAAAACCATATGAACATTGCAATGCAAGGACGAAAAACAGACACACGAACATGAAGAATATGGTATGCATAAATCTAAAGTGTGACATTCTTGCACATCATCCCTACATGGTTTCCAGAACATATTTCCTTTTAGTATTCCTCCATGCTCAATACTTAACATGTGTCACTGCAGACTGTGTTTCTCTGCAGGTTAGTGTGTTTAACTCACACGCTGAAAGTTATAGAGTGTAAAGTGAGTGTGCTCTGCATATCTTCCAGGGTTAATTGTTCCATAAATTCACAAGCTGCTAAAAGGCAGGCATGGCTGGAATTCACACTTGAGCCTTCACTTTCTCACAGACACAACTCTGCATTGTGTGAGAGCTTGTGTCTTGATATGACACTATTAATATGCCAACAATGTTTACTGTCAGAAGAAATGGAGAGATAAATAATGAAGACACTGAGAAATCTGAGAAGTTTAGGTAGAAAGTACAATCATTGTATTCATGTAGTTTATACCTTTGTCTTGTTTTGTGTTTATTGCCTTTGCTTTTTAATGACTGTTTTGAAATGCCATTTTTAACGTGATTCTCCTGCACTATTTCTTAATGCTCTTAATGTTTGCTTTGAACTGCCTTGTGTCGGAAGGTGAATAAACGTGCCATGCCTTGCATTACAATATGTTTAAATAAGGGACCTTTACAGGGTCATTTATACAACAATAGAAATTAAAAAAAATCATAATTAAGAAGTGTTTCGTTATTTAATGGCTCTGGACAAATCATCTCACCCACTGTGACATATATGTATGTATTTTAATGTGTTTCGATTGTCTTCTTTCTCACTTTTGGTCACATGTCTCTCCCCCATATCCTGTTTATGGCATACTCATACACACCTGAAGGGCAATCCTAGCACACACTATGAGATGTGCGCACATATTTAGTGCTGGGAAAAAGGCTCATTTATTACATCGGTTTTATTACAGAGTCTACTCTTTTTTTAACCATGCGGTATTATGATGGCGGGGTGTGAGGGGTCATCATAGGTCTGTGATGAGATGATAAAGAACACAGAGTGCAGAGCAGGTCCACACTGACCCCCCCTGTGAGAAGCTCCCAGTTCCCAGGACCCGGTGTGTACGTTTGGGGGCAATAACTCACCAGGTCCCTCCACTTCCTCTTTCGGCCTTCTGCGTTTTATGGCCCTCTCCTGTGCCGTACAGCTGCCGTCCTCGCAGCTTCCCTCGGCTCTGATTGGATCAGAGGCGAGCTGGAGGGAAGAAGATGAAGGGGAAGAGACGGGGAAGCAGTTGGGATGAGGTGGTTTGGTATGGGATGCTACAGAGGTTGTTTTTCACATACATTACAGATGACAAGCTGGAGACAACTTCCCTCTGTGTCGTCCACATGTACTGTTTATATTTCCCACCACACTAGCCTGATGATCAGAAAGAAAGCCCATGTTGCCGATTTCATTATACATCATTTCTGGCATAAAAAATGTTATGTGTAATTAAGAGGACAAAAAACTTTTAAAAACTTTTTAAGTCCTTCGTTCTTTTAAATCTGCAGGGGAAGAAATAGTTAAAAGGTTGCTGTCTATGGTGAATTTAAAGCGAATGGTCTTTAAAGCCCTCACACTCAAACGCTGGGCCAAAGTTTTGGTCAATTTAACAACAACTCAGAAGAGGTTAACAAAACAACCCGAGACAGAGGTTGTTTGGGGTTTTCTTGCTCCAGGGTTGGCGATGGTGGCCTTTTGCTTCGTTTCTGCGTAACACTTAGATGTGTTGCAGTAAGAGTTTAAACAAATATTCTCTGCATCTCAGCCAGTGGTGGAAAGTAAGCAAGTATGCACTCAAGTATTGTACTGAAGTCGTTTTTTGACATATTTATACTTTACTTGAGTACTTCTATGTTTGCTACTTTAGCAGCCACTACATTTTAGAGGCAACTATTGTACTTTTTACTCGACTGCATTTATTTTAACACTCAGTTACTAGTTACATATGCTAATACTAGTTACATATGCTAATACATATACATACACATCTTCCGGCGCAGACTGAAAACTCATCTCTTTCGACTCCACTTTGAGCGATAGAATTACTAACAAAGCACTTATATACTAATAAAGGACTGGCTTATCTGAAGCCATGTTGGGTAGCACTTGAAATGTTTTGGCTCTATGAAACCTGATGTCCTTATATGGTTCTGTTTTCTTCAAAGTTTGTATCTTCTTGGTCGAATGCACTTATTGTAAGTTGCTTTGGATAAAAGCGTCAGCTAAATGTAATGTAATAGGGTATAATGCAGTACTGTAGTAATCAACACAGTATTTTAAGCATCTAGATTTGGTACACAATGACCAATAACTAAAATGCTGTAACATATATAAAAACAGGATGAAATAATGATATAATTATAGTGTGAAAAGATCCATTCTGCATAATAATTTTTGTATTTAGCTGATTATACTTCTGTACTTTATATTATTCCGAAATGAGCCATTGTGCAGAATGAGTACTTTGTTAATACTTTTTACTTCTACTAACGTAACATTTTGAAATCAGGACATGTACTTGTAATGGAGTATTTTAAGACCTTAGTAACTGTAAGGGAAACTTCTGTAGCAATGGGGAGTCAGGACTCAGAGAGACACGAGGAGAGTTGGAGCTTTGATGTCAAACACTGGTGGTTTATTACGAGTATCGGCCCGGAGGATTCACATCACAACTCACACAGCTCGAGGTTCTGACTGCACTGGAGAGTTGCCACGTCAATTCTGAAGAACTCTCCCCCAGACCTGTGTATTTAGCTAGTTCAGAAAGAATAATCAACATTGTGCATAACAAGATAGAATCATAACACATCAGCTGACGCCATCAGGCAGGAACAGGGAGACAGAACACCGAGAGCAGAGCAGCCAAGGTTGCAGGTGCGTGTGCTCAGTCAGGACAGTTTGAACTGATACACTGGGTCAAAGTTATGGGCTTTGGAAGATATTTCCCCAACAGTAACTGTTCTTTTTCTTAAGTAAAGGATCCAAAACACTTCTTACAACAATGGTCTTAGCTTTTTGTTGATACCACAGATCTGCTCTAATTTTGGATTACTCTAATTCTTTTCTCAAACTTAAAAGTCCTTATTTGTTGTTTTGTGAGCACTGGGTCAAGTAAGACACTCTGACACAACACATGGTATTAACCAATAAACCCAGCATTGTGTCAGATCCTTATATCCAACTCAGGGATTTCTTGCGTACATTTTGTCTGGGTGTCTTTGTTTTTGCCACATCCTGTGAGAGGTTGAGGTTTGAACACCCTCAGGGGAGTATAAAGACCTGTCAAGTGTGCAGTGGGACGGACCCTTTAACATGTTTACACTGAGGCGTCCTTCTAATGAGGTCAGACGTTCAGGACACACAGGGGAACCATCAATTAATTTGGAACTGAGCATATTGCCTGTACAAAGTTTCAGAAGTGAAAAGCTCACGTGATTGAGCTACTTCGACTGAAACATGACTGAAACTCTCTCTCTGCGTCTGGATTTGCATGCTCGACTGTTCCAGTGACTTTGACACAAAGTGGCTGAAGGTGAAGGTAGAGGTCGGGGTCACGCTGATTTAATGCCCTGTTTCTTTAAGATTACACCGAACCCAGGAGGAGCCGAGTGTGGGCGGACGGTCTTGTGGTTGTGACCGAGCCCTTTGACAAGAAATGTAATCAAGATAATGTAATACGAGTTGGCAAAAGTAGCTCACACATCATGGTTACTTCTCTAAAAAAAAAAAATGTTTAGAAAGCACGGCAGCCTTCCTTGATTTGTGAGTTAGTGGTGTGTGTGTGTGTTAAAGTCAGCCTTAGTGTTTAGTACATGCCCCGTATTCCTGACCCTTGATCACACAAAGTATTTTAATCCAATCAGCTTCGTTTTCACATGACTGTCACACACTCGCTGCTGCCATGGTAACCTGCAGAGGAAAGGGAGAAAGTGCAGGAAAGAGAGAGAGGTATGTCGTCCTCTCTTTAATCACTGTGACATTCACACACACACACACACAGATTTTACTCATTAAAGATGTGGTACTCAGGTTTCTTTCTCTTTGTTGATTATAACTTCACAAAAATACAAACACTCATATTTGAAGGATCTCTTTATTCCATCTTAACGATTATAGAATGTGGTGTAAGAAAAGAGAAGAATCTTGTTTGGACTTGGGAGATGATCAATAACAGGAAATGCATCCACTGAAATATATATTGAAAAAGGTACAAATGCAACAGGTCATTCAAGTTTGTTTGTGTCAAGAAAGTCAAATGTATCATTAGTCAGAGAGAATTGTTGGGCAAATGATTACAATATGATAAAAACGGACAGAATATATAAACAGAAAATATGACCTTAGTGTAACACAACAGCTCTACACAGAGACATAACAAACAAGTTCTACATTGGAAATTAGTAAAAAAGGAAGGTTTTACATCAGATACTCGCAAGTAATAACTTGTTGGAACAAGATTACCAAGAAAGATAAGGTTAATCACAAATGAGGCCAATAGTCACTTCCCTTGAGAGGTGAAAAGGTTAGCTGTGCCCTGTGGTTTGATTTTGGCACGCTACCCTCTGCTGCTTCTCATTTCTGCTCTGACATTTCCTGTTCTACCTCAAGTTGAAGTCAGCCTGCCGCTCTGTGGGCTAGTACTGTTGTGTGACGTTCATCTGAAAAAGTATGTTTCTTTTTTTTCTCCTTCTCTTACCCCAGAAAGCTGCAGCCTGTACTTTTCTGTCCTTTTAAAGTAACCTATGATTTTGAGCTCAGCTTGCAGAAGGCCACTGTCAGCAGCAGAAGTTGCACGTCAGGGAGATTTCTCTTTTATTTACTGCATCAGTGCTACAGTGAGGAAAGCACTCTACCTGCTGGTCTGGAGAGGTATCACCAGACTGTGGCAAACACCATGAAACAGAAGGAGGGTGGAAGTGTTTCTGCAGGTATGAAGCTGGAAGTGCCCCGTGAGTCACTGGGTTTCTTACCAAGAAGTAAAGGATGACTATACTTTTTTGGAATATATTACTCAGAAGGTCATGGGGAAACCCTCTTATGGGTTCAATCTCACTATTTTTTTAAATGATAAAGGATATACACCTGATTGGTTGACATAGCAAGTCCCTCTCATAGCTATTTAAATAACCTACATTTGCATTTCAATAACCTACCTGGTGTGTAGGCCAGTGTAGCCGTGTGTGGCCTTCTATGCATGAATGGTGGCAAGTGCTCCTGGAATTGTCCATATCCACCGCTGCTACTGTGGGGGTGAGCATGAATTAATTCCCTCATCAGGGAAAAGCCATCCTGAATAGTGCTGGTAATGTTGACAATGCTGGCATTCATCTGCTGCATGCTGTCTGCGTTGCGGATAGATGTTTGCTCCATTAGCTCCAACATCCTCTTTTTTATTTTGATGTCTTCCTGCACGGCATGGTCAGCTGGAAGTTTTCTCTTCAGGCGGTCACTTCTGTGGCTGTTCAGCTTTGCCTTGATTAAACCAGAGCATTTTTGTATTATTAGTAATTACACAATAGGACCATAGCCACCAGATAACATAAGAACAAAGGCATGTTGTGAAATAGCTCTCAATACATTCTACTTTTACAAATACAACAGCTCTCAATACCTTCTACTTATACAAAGCTTAAACATGTTCAGTTTTTCTGTGGAAGGTACTGTATCATAGTATATAGCAAGTCCGTTAAGCTTGAAATCATGAACATACCTGGAGCAGATCCCTGCGATGCTTTACAACCGCAGCTGGCAGACTTTCGCTGGATTGGCTCGGCTGTGGCAAATCTTTGGAACGCTCCAAACTCGGGGATGAACTTTGTCCGGAAGACGACTCTTCCAGGTCCCCCGTCTCGATGCCGGAGCTTAGGGAGCTAATGGTGCGCGTAGCAGGGGAGCTAATGGTGCGCGTAGCAGGGGAGCTAATGGTGCACGTAAAAGGCGAGCCACCCCAGACCTCTTCACACAGCTCGAAAAACAAGAGCATAACACGTCCTTGGTGACTCCGACTCCCAGTGTTCACCAACTGCCTATACTTGGTGCGAATTTGCTTAAGCTTGGCGGTAAGTTGGACCCTTGTAATGGCGTTCGCGTCGTGAGGGAAATCCTTGTCTGCCCGTGTCCTCGGATACTGCTCGTGAAATGCGCGAGAAATATCGATATATTTACACTTGCAGGACTCCCAGTCAACATTCTCCTGTACTTTGGTCGTTTTGTACTCTAGTGTGACCCTAAGCAGAAGTTCTACCTCGTCGTCAGTCCACAAAAATGCCGCCCGTATTGAACCAATATCCGCCATCTTCTACCTTGTTTGTTTGTTTATGCCTTATGCCCATGCTCGGGGGTCTTATTCGCTGCTTTTGGTGTATTTTGTGGCGGAAGTACAGCGCCACTTACATACTACAGCGTCTCCAGCGGCTTCGAACGGTACGTCAAAGTTGTACGTAAATACAGCACTTGAGTAAATGTACTTAGTTATTTAACAACATTGTTTTTAACACTACAGTATTATTTTTGTTTTGCCTAGATACAGTAGCCTTCATTATTTACATTACAACATGTAAACATATTCTAGTATCCAAACGACCTGAAAAGGTGTATAAGAAGGGACAACATTCACAATTCTAAACCTAATATATCATGTGTGTAAGGTAAAAGACACACAGGCCAACGAATGTGACATTATACCAACCTTGCGATTTTCATCGTATAAAGTAATTGGTTTTAAAATGTAAGATGTAGGCTATGTTTAAAATCGAGAGTGCAAGAATGGCAATACTGAGTCCTGTTGTTTCTAGGGGTTCATATTAATTTGTGTCTTCCCAAACTCTCACTCTCACGATTGAATGTATTGCTTCGATAAATGCATATATAGCCTAAATATATCTGGCAGTTTAAAACATATTTTAAATGTTTTTATTACCGTTTATTTTTCGCTTTCCTGTCGCGCGCCCACTACTGTGAGTAGATCGGTTTCAGGCGCTAAGGTAAGGGAGGATGAACCGGTTTAAATGGCCTGAAATGTACCAGTCATGCATGAAGTTGGATCATCTTAAAGGTCAGTGTATGTTTTGGTCATTGGATTTTCTTTTCACAAAAGGATATTAAAAAACTAAATACGAGTCGATATTTGATGTTCATTTCAATTGAAAAAATAAAATTTAAATACAAGGCTTTTTTCTTTGTCATGGTCAAAAGGCAAACGGGATGATTTTCATGTTCTACCTCTCAAAACTAAAACTAAAATCACTAGAAAATAGAAACGAAAAAACGCCCGAAAATTAAATATCCAGTCATTTTTTGTTCTTGAATATCCTTTTGTGAAAAGAAAATCCAATGACCAAAACATACACTGACCTTAAAAGCTCTAAATCCGAGACACAAATTCATACAAAGCAGTACGCGACTTTGTGAAAATGCATAGCCTACGCAAAAATATCTTATCGTATCCTTCTATTAATCCACCCGAATGTTATATGGAAAGTTGAACAAGAAATGTAGGTAATATGCTCATAAACTGTAAATCTATATCTAGCCTATATGTAATTTAGTCCTTTACTTAACGTGACTCTATGACTGGTTTACAGCAAAAGTTCAGCAAACACACACAGAAGTCTGAAAGTATGTCTGTTTATTTTGTCCATGTACATTTTTTTCACAAAAAGAATCACCAGAATAAGCAACGACAAAATGAAATCAGAAAAGAGTGTCGTACCACTGCTGTGCCAACACAGAGGAAACTAAACAGAAACAACAGTAACTGACTCAAACGGACTGGTCCACCCAGCATTGTCATGTTTATGTGTTTAAAAAACCACCAGAGGTCCTCATCCCATCATATTTAAAGGTCCCATGTCATGGCCATTTCTGATTATAATTCCATTGTTGAGATATACCAATAGATTTATATTGTGCAATTTTCCAATCTCACATTGGTTTCTCATACAGCATCTCTGTATGTGTATTCTCTCTGTCCTAAACGGCTTGTTGGAGCTCCTGCACCCCCCCCCACAATGGAAAGCAGATTAGTTTGATGCCATCATAGAGTTAATTTTGCTTCAATGTCTAACTATTATTGAAATAAAAAGAGGA